TCCGCCCCGCTGCTGCTGCTGCAGTGCTGCTTTTATTGCTCGCTGCTTTGGCTGCGGTGCTGCTGCTGCTTGTGTTTGCCGCTCTTGCGGTGTCTCTGTGTCTACTTGTATTTGTCTGTTATTTATTTTTCTTTAATGTCTCAGCCCTCGCTTGGGCATTCTATAAAAGGAGACAGTCGGAGACAGATAGAGAAGAGACAGAGGAGACAGAGGAGACAGAAGAGACAGAGATAGAGACAAAAAAACAAATGTACAGAGAAACAGATGTAAGGAGACAGCTAGCAGGAGACAGAACAAAAAGCAGAGAGAGACAGAGAAGAGACAAGTAAAGAGACACAGACAGAAGGAGACAATCAAAGAGAGACAGAAAAAAACAAACACAGATAGATAAAGGAGACAAAGGGAGAGAGAACGAACCGGAGACAAACGAAGAAAGACAAACAGAAAGAAAGATAAACAAAACACAAAAATAAATAAAGACAAGCGAGACAAACATAAAGAGAGAAACAAAAATAAATAAATACAAAATTAAAACGAAGACACTGAGGAGACACAGACAAAGAGACAGAAAGACTCTGCTGCTGTCTCTGTTTTTTTTTCTCTTCGCTCCTCAATCCCTATACAAACAAAAACAAAGTAGAGCAGACTGCTGCCCCAGCCACGACACATACAAACAGCAGCAGCAGCAGCTGCTGCTGCAGTTGCTGCTACTGCAGCAGCAGCCGTGGCAGCACTCGCCACAGCAGTAGCAGCACATGCAGCGGGAACAGCTGCTGCTGCAGCAGGATGTAGAAGCAGACAGCAGCAGACGGCTGAGTCTGCTGTTGTAGCAGAAGCAGCTCTGCGGTGTACAGACACCGCAAAGAGATGCACCTTTTGATTTGGCCCCCTGAACTGCACCTGCAGCAGCAGCAGCAGCTGCTGCTGCTGCTGCTGCTGCTGCTGCTGCAGCTGCTGCTGCCGCTGCTGCTGCTGCTGCTGCTGCTGCCGCTGCTGCTGCTGCTGCAGCTGCTGCTGCAGCAGCTAGAAGCAATCATCTGGCATATCCTGGGGGCCTGCCAATAGCAAGGCCATTCGCCTCGACTTATATGTGCGTTGTTTCGGTGTAGAGGGGGCCTGTTCTGCTGCTGCTGCTGCTGCTTTTGCTTCACCTGCTGCTGCTGCACCGGCTGCTGCTGCACCTGCTGTTGCTGCTGCTGCTGCTGCTGAGTTTGCAGTGGGGGGACCTTTTGCTGCTGTCCTTAAGACGTGCTGCCACAGCTGCTTTATGCCGGAGCCTGTGCGGGCTGAAACGAGGAAGACAGGAACTTGCTGCTTCGACTTGTGCTGCTGTTGCTGCTGCTGCTGCTGCTGCTGCTGCTGCTGTGCTAGAGGCGAGGTCTCTGAGACAAGGGGCCTTTGAAAGCTGTTGAAGAACAGGCCCCCCGATGCATTGCTGCTGCTGCTGCTGCTGCTGCTGCTGCTGCAGTCTGTGTTCTCCTCCCTGTCCTCTTTGGTTCTGCTGCTGCTGCGTTTCTGCTGCTCCAGCAGCAGCTTCAGCCGCAGCTGCAGCAAATGGGGCGGCAGCACCAGCTGCTCAAAATCCGATAGATTCTCCACCAAGTCCTGCGCGCAGCAGCAGCAGCAGCAGCAGCAGTAGCAGCAGCAGTGACAGCAGCAGCAGCAATAGAAAGAGCAACAGCAGCAATGGATAGAGCAGCAGCAGCACCAATCGAGAGCAGCAGCAGCAGCAGCAGCAGCTGGATGAAATCGACGAGCTGTAGATCAACCAGAGCGTCAGCAGCAACAGCAGCAGCAACAGTGACAAAGAGCCACGGCGGCGGCAGCAAAATCAACAGCAGCAGCAGCAGCAGCAGCAGCAACAGCAGCAGCAACAGCAGCAGCAACAGCAGCAACAGACCACTAGCTCTGCGGCGCTCAGCCTGTCTTCCTTGGTGATTGCAATGGCTGTGGGGATTTTTTGCTGCTGCAGCAGCCGCAGCAGCGCAGCATCGTGGGCCCCTATGCCTCTCCTACCATCTACAAGCAGCAGCACCTGCTGCAGCACCTGCTGCTGCTGCTGCTGCTGCTGCTGCTGCTGCTGGTTGCGCTGTATGTACACCTCCAATGTGCGTGATATCTGCCGCGTCCTGTCTGGGGTGATGCCCTCTGTATACCCATAGCCGGGAAGGTCTGCAAGCACAAGAGCCCCCCGCTGCAGCAGCTGCTGCTGCCGCTGCTGCTGCTGCTGCTGCTGCTTCTGCTGCTGCTGTTGCTGCTGTCCGGGTGCTGCAGCAACACTGAACAAATAGAAATCAATGGCCTGGGTGCGGCCAGGGGTGCGAGAAGAACGGGCATGCGGCAGTTTGCTGCTGCTGCTGCTGCTGCTGCTGCTTCTGCTGCTGCTGCTGCTGCTGCAGAGCTTAAAGAAGGCATTTATAAGCGAAGATTTTCCCGAGTTGCTGCGCCCAGCAACAGCAATCTCCGGGAGCTGCTGCTGCTGCAGCAGACCCTTCAGCAGCTGCTGCAGCAGCCGCTCTCGTAGCGTGCTGCGGGGTGCATCAGCTGCAGCAGATACGGCCTCCTCGTCTTCCTCAGCAGCAGCAGCAGCAGCAGCAGCAGCAGCAGCAGGAACGCCGTGGGGGGCAAAAGACTCACGGGCTGCTTCGCCACTGGTTTGCTGCTGCTGCTGCTGCTGCTGCTGCTCGCTGGGGTTTGTAGGCAGCAAGAATGACCCCAAGAACGATGGCCTGAGGCGGCTGTAGTCGCCTGACTTGAGGATTTGCTGCAGCTTGCTGCTGCTGCTGCTGCTGCTGCTGTTGCTGTTAGAGATAGCAGCAGCAATGGGGACGCCCAGTATGGGTTTAGAGTGGGGCCCCTGGGGGCCCCCAAACGGCAGCAGACCCTGGGGGCCCCCCAGCGAGGTGAGGAGGCCCCTGAGTGAGTTTGTTGGGGTCTCTGCCTCACCCTCTTGTATCCCTGCATCATATGGCTCTGCTGCTCCTCCCCGCTGCCGCTGCTGCTGCTGCTGCTGGCGCCGCTGCTGCTGCTGTGGATGCTGCTGCTGCTGACGCCGCTGCTGGCGTTGCTTCTGCTGCTGACGTGCTGCAGTGGGGCCCTGTGAGCTAACTCGCGGCCGGCGGGCTGCAGACAACGGAGAGGGGCGGGGGCCCCCAGGGGGCCCCCTTGATGCAACAAATGCAGGAGTGGGTCCAGTGCTCAGAGCAGCAGACGGAGGCAAACTCTGGTGGCTGCTGTTGCTGCTGCTGCTGCTGCTGCTGCTGGTTCTCCAGCAGCTGAGGGGGGACCCGCATGCAGTAGTAGAAGGAGCAGCAGCAGCAGCATGCGGTGTAAGCCGTAGCAACGGCAGTGAGAGCAGCAGCAGCAGCAAGAGGTGCAGACGAAGCCTCTGCATCTGCGGGAGAGAGCAGCCAGAGGTAAGCTTAGGTGTGCAGCCTCTTCCTAACCCCCAACCCTAAACCCTAAACCCTAAACCCTAAACCCTTGAAGCCCAGGGGGGCCCTGCCCCCTACAGCGCCTCTGCTAACCTCTCCATATCTTATTTGATACTCTCTAGCCCCTAAACCCTAAACCCTAAACCCTAAACCCTAGGCATAGTACCCTAGAGCATACACCGCAAACTGCAGCGGGGTACTGAACCCTCGTTCTGCTCTGAACTAGGGGATTTGAGTTAATACTTTTAGATAAATATTGTTCCCTCTATGGGGCCCCCCCGGGGCCCTTCACTCACCCTTGCTTGGGGGCCCCCAAGGGCCCACAGGGGGCCCCTAGGGGGCCCCTGCGGGGGGCCCCTTGGTCGTGGAGCGGAGCGCAGCTGGTATTATATTCGTTCATTTTTGTATTTGTTGGTGTATTTTGTTGTATTGTATTTGTAAAAATTATTATATTTAATTTATTTATTTTCATTTACTTATATATTTATCTTTTTATATGCGGCAGGTGTACAGCAAGCGGCTACAGCAACCTGAGGTCACCGCCGTGGGTGGTGTTTCTCCCCGCTTAGTAATTTAACAATATAATAAAAATATTCGTAAAAGTATAAACTATAAGAAAAGTAAAAATAGTAATAAAAATAATAAAAAAAATAATAATATTTGTAACTCTAACAATAAAATATTTATAAAATTATAATTCACTTTCTTTGATATCTTGCAGTGCACGGGGCGGCCTGCTGCTCAGACCTTCAGGCTTCATATTGTATTCTATACTTTTTTATATATTATATAATATAATATATATATATACATATATATATGTATATATATACATATATATATATATATATACACATATATACATACATATATATATATATATATATATATATATATATATATATATATATATATATATATATATGTATATATATGCAAATGTGTGTATGTATATAAGGAGCAATATGCATTGTAATATGCAATAAATATAATAATGTGTGTTAAACACTAATAATACGCTCCACATATAAAACAGCAGCACAGCTAAACCCTAAACCCTAAACCCTAAACCCTAAACCCTGGAGAACGCGCGGATAGGATTCCTTGATTGCATACAAAGAATGCATACCCTCTTACAGCAACTGCAGCGGAGTTAACCAGTTGCTGCTCCCCCTGCTGCTGCTGCTGCTGTTGCTCCTGCTTCTGCTGCTGCTGCTGCTGCTGCTGCTGCTGCTGCTCTCATAGCCGCGCTAAGCGCATGGGTGCCTTCCACTGAAAGAGCTGAGACACCGCAGCCTCGCTGACCTCCGCCAGACTGCTGGGCTGCCTGTACACCCCAGCTCGCACATGCATCTACCCCTAAACCCTCGACAAACGCTAAACCCTCTACAAACAGTAAACCCTAAATTACAACCATTTGTAAACCCTAAACCCTAAACCCTAGACCTAAACCATCAGTAAACCCTTGATAATGTCTGAGGCGCTGTGGCCGATCGCAGCACGGAGAGCCTATCCCCTAGAGCGCATACGTATACACCGATGAACTAGGGTTTAGGGTTTAGGGTTTAGGGTTTAGGGTTTAGGGTTTACTGACCACTTGGGGTTTTTGTCTTTGTCAACGAGGACGGCTCGAACCCCTTCCTTAAAATTTTCGTTTGCCGCCATGTTGGACGCCAGCACCAGCTCAATCTCAAACGCCTCCAGCAGCAGCTGCAGCCGCTGCTGCTGTTGCTGCTGCTGCTGCAGCTGCTGCTGCTGCTGCTGCTGCTGCTGTTGATGCTGATGCTGATGCTGTTGCTGCTGTGCTTTCAGGGGCGCCTCATCCAAGGCCCCGGGAGCAGCTGCACTGCCAGCTGCTGCCTTTGCTGCTGCTGGCTCTGCTGCTGCTGCTGCTGCCGCTGCTGCTGCTGCTGCTGCTGCTATGGCGTTCTCTCTGTCTCTGATAGCTTTGAAGGAAACGGCGAGAGACAGGGGACAGGCGGTCTGCATTTTTTTGAGGGTTTTGCGGCACAGGCCGCAGCAGCTCGCATCCGCCTCCAACGCAGCCACCAGGCTCTGCTCACAAACCCTAAACCCTAAACCCTAAACCCTAAACCCTACGC